TGACTTGGACATCACTTTTAAAAAATATTGGAAAAAAGTTATGTGTATTTTTATTATGCATAAAAAAGGCACTGTTAAATTATAATTTTATAAACACTACAGTCAGCATGGATTCTGCATTTTTCAACTGCCAACTATTGGCATGGGTAAATAGTGGGTTTATGGATTTGATTTATTTTTGTTTCTTTTCTCAAATGAATATAAAACAGTTCCTTGTTTCATATAACGTATATAGCTTTAAACTAAATAGTGGTCCATTGAAATGTATGGTGATGACAGGGCAGTGCATTTGTGCCAACTGTGGAGGGAAAAGCACAATCCCAAATGAATATAGTAAATGTGATATGATCTATGTTGTGTAATTTCTATTCAATGTATGTTGACCACTGTCATATTTTTTTACTATCTCACAAAATTCTATAAAAATTTCAAATTTTTATTTGAATTTATATTTCAGTTTTCATTTTAATAATTAAATAATTAACACAATTTCAAAGGAAATTTTATAGTTTATTTTGAATGCCACCATGCCGTGTGGACCTAAACAATCTGTGTTGATCTGTAAATGGTTTCATATCATTCAAAATTAGCGATCGATAAAGCGTTTGAACGATATAGATACTTTGATTAATTTAGCCCCAATACTTTCGGCTAAAAATTTGCTTTCCGGTACGATTTGATGGATTCCATTTGGTTTAAAAGTCCAAACATATGTAAGGGCCGAACTTGAATCCGTAATTTTCAATCCGAAAATCGATGTCGGATAACAAAACATGCAGCGAGTTTTACCAAAAACCCCCACCCACCCCCAAACTGTTTGAATTAAGTTTTTTATCCGACATCGATCTTTTGATGTCGTCTCTAAGCCCCCTGAAAAGTTATGCAATAGGAAAATGTTTGAATTTGTTCTAGATTTACCTCTGTTTATCATTGACATAAACTCTTTTTGTTTTTAAATGTTAATTTAACAAACGAAACTAAAGGAAGTCTTTGGTCTATGCCTTCATTTATTTTCAAAACAAATCTCTCAAATTTCTTCTTTCGATTAAAAACGTGAGCACATAACAATGGGATAGTGGTAATGATATTTATTTTTCATTTCCTAAGTAAAATATTTTCCTCGTAAACTGGAAACAATTTTGTTCAAGGATAAGGAAACTAAATTATAGCCCCCTTGCTTATTATGTTATATTATACAACTTCAAACATTCATAATTATTTTGTATTAAGTTTAAAAAAAGTGATAATCATTTCATGTCAAAACTATACCTTATCCTGACTTGTGATGAAAAAAATCAACATAACGTTAATTGCATATTCGAGCACACTGGTTCCTGGAAATAGGGTAGTACAAAAACAGGTAATTCTAATCTGAGCAACAGGGCAAATATGCCCTCCTATCTTAATTTCATATAGTTTTTTTTATTATTCAAAAGAAACTTCTAACAAGGGTTCTGCAGTGATCCTAAGTCCTTAAGCTTTCATTTGATACCGAAATTACCCAAATATTTTACTTATTGATAAAGTTACAGCTATGCGTAGGAACTATTTTGTTTAAAATATGTTCTACTTTTTTGTGTTCTTTCTGACCGGCCCGAATAAGTGGTTAACTTGAAAGTGTTTACAATGAAATTCTTCATATAGATATAAGAAGATGTGGTATGAGTGCCAATGATACAACTCTCCATCCAAGTCAAAATTTATAAAAGTAAACCATTATAGGTCAAAGAACTAATTTTTACAAGGACATAACTCTTTTAAAAATAGTTATTTGTCACTCATTTTCAAATAATCCTATACATTGCTGACTTAAATCTTTGAAATAATGTTGATAACAATCTGGCAAGAATTGTACACGTGAGAGCTTTTGCAATGCAATTTGTCATATAATTAATATTTCCAAGGGACATAACTCTTCTGATAATTGTTGATCGTCAATCATTTTTGAATTTGTCTGACACATTGGTGATATAAACCTTTGATATAAGTTTGATGAAAATCTGTCCAGAATTGTACATGTGAGAGCATTTCAATACAATTTTCCATAGAATTAATATTCACAAGTAACATTACTCTTTTAAAAAATAGTTGATCACCACTGATTTTCGAACTTGTCCGAGACATTGCTAATATAAACCTTTGAAAAAGTTTGATAAAAATTTGGCAAGAATTGTACAAGTGACAGCGCTTACATTATTGGACGGACAAGCACACGAACGGATGGATGGACGGAAGCCCTGTATTATTTATGTCTCCCTCAAGGCGGCGCGCGATGAACAATTAATTTCCTCCCAGATTATGACCAAAACCTATGCTACGTGAATATTGAAGCAATGGGGATTTTGTTTGAAAAAAAGAAAAACAAAGTATGGGAATAAAAGAAAACGTAAACATATACATTCGTATTTATATACAGTTGGTATATACAGTTTAATTTTATATTGGAGTTTGTTTGAATTGCAAATACCTTTGAAAATACTAGCTTTGATCACCAGCACTGCGTAAAGTGTACAGTTTCTTAATTGATGATGGCCAGGAAGAAGAAGACGATGTAGCACATTCTAACGCTTCCCTTCCAGATTTCAAATCGAAGTCTTAACCCTTGGCACTCAACGGTATTTCACCCCTACAAATGTCTTTATGTTGATGCTCAAGGCCAAAATTTTCAAAAGTCCAAAACCTAATACAGCTGCCGAAAAGCTAATTTATCAAAAAAAGATGGCGGCTTCCCTTAGTTACCAACAGGTAGATCAGGAAATTTTCACTGGTCGTTCAGATTGATCGAATCAAAATAACTACAGTATAATTATAAGAATTGCCTTATTTAGTAAAATAGCATTTATGAACCCAACTTTATCATACCTTATTGATTAACTGAGACACATCTCAACTTATCCGGAGTCAGGCGGAGTTTCATTAGAAAGAAAAAGTGACGATAGAGATTCTAACAACATCCTTTATGAAATTTTCTAGTTTTTAGTAATCTAACAACATTCAATATAAATAAATTTCCAGTTTACTAAGCATGCAATTGTCTAAGTTGGGTAAAAATAAATATATTTTAAGTAACTGAATACTCTAATAAAAAAAAAAGACAAAGGATCTGGGGTATTCATCCATGACACAAAATCAGTACATGCACAGCTGTGTTTGTTGAAGCATATGCTGTGAATAATGATATGTGAATGTATTTATTTATGCATATAATGCATATTTATCGTATGTTATATACATTATGTATATTTGAATTATTTTGAGGGCCTTAACATATCAGGTTTTAAGACAATTGTTGTATGCTATTAGTACAAATAATTTATCAAGAAATTGTAAAAAAAATTTGCAATCGATTTATATAATTTTATGTAACAAAAACTCTTGTTTTTTATTTACTTTTTTTTACAAAAAGTACAGCAAAAGATCTACAAATGTAATATAATAATAGAAATGGAATGTAAATACTATAAACTCATATTCATGAGTCCCGTTTATATAAGACATGTCTATTGTATAAAATTTTACACATGCTTTGACCAAATGAGATGTAATTATTTTTTGTTGATGAAAATTAAAATAATGTTTTACTTTTTGAAACACTCAATCCATGATGTCGGTTTAAATTCATTCAGTATCCAATAAAATATTTATTGGTTTTGATTTTAGTTTTAAACTTTGGAGATCTATACTTTTTAATTGTTCAATTTTACAAGGTAACGAACCTATATCTATAGTTTTCATCATAACTATGAACAAAAAAGTAAATAGAGTGTATCAAACGTTTTTTGAAAAATAAACAATCGTCCATACCAATTGTAATCCTTTAAATTTCCTCGATGGTAGACACTTTGAAAAAAAAATAAAAAGGTTACAAAATATTCAATTTTGACAACAATACTTTTAAGAAAACAAAACTAAAAATAAAAATGAAAAACAAATAGTAGAAAAAAATCTTAAAAGAAGAAGTACGGCGAAAATCAATTTATATATATATATATAATATGCAGCTTCATAAATATTCCTAAATATGTTAAAATTCCAGGAATAAATAATCCCTAAATTAACATCCATACGCGTTATCACAAACTGTTGGTTATAAGTTCCTAAAATGTTGTCACAGTACTAATCAGCAGAGCAGAAATGAATATTTGTACTGGATGTAGACTGCTGTTTTTGTTCATTGTTGTAGTTGGTTTTATGTCTAGAACTGTTTCATTGGAAATTATACCACTTCTCCTTATTTTCTAATTTTAAGGTATCTTTTGTGATAAAGAAAAACAAGACATAGTAAACTTTGTAATGATCTGCTATTAACATAGAATTTCCTAATGACAAACACATGAAAATAAAGATAAAGACAAACAATGATGAGGGTTCTTATAGAGGGCAGGTACACGACCTTGTGGCTAGACTGAACTCATTAGTGAGTTCTCACCCATTTTTTTTTTATCTTGATCAGTAAAATCATTAAACGTTACATGAACGAAAACAACTCTTTAATATCACACACACAAACATTCAAAGCAATGCAAAAAATACAAATAAAAAATGTAATTAAGGGAAGACAAAAGTACCAAAACTGCTTATGTAATATAAGACCAATTGATTCAAAATTGTTTAACATATCCAAGTGTATTTCAATGTCATACAGTAGCTTGGTAGAAAGTACAGAAAACATGATTTTGTTTGATTGAAAGAGAAAATATGCACGTAATTTCAATGCAGAAACCTAAAACATTTATTTTTGTTTGAAGTATTGCTAAATAACAACAGATGCGTTCAATTTCATATTTAATTTGATTCTAAATGGTCAAAGCTATTACAAATTTAATTGAAATGAGATCATTTACTTGAATCAAATACATACTTATTGATTTAATAATATTCATTCCTGTACCGTATATGCATCGATTTTGAAATGTTATTAAGATATTGAATGTTGATTCCATTCACTGAAATTAGTATTTTCCTGTCTACTTTTGTATATCTTTTAATATTTTACTTACCACATAGGCACTTTAGCTATTTCGGGGTATAGCAGGTTGTTTGTACTTGTATATGAAACTACTTAACTTGCTACTGACAAAATGTCGACTACGTAATATGATACTTCACTTCACAATGTGTCTATTTAACATCCAATAACGGCGATCGTTTGTAAAAACTTTAAAATATCTGATCACGGCGTTTTGCAAAATTTTAATAATATTTCATTTCACAAGTATATAATTTGCAGTAATTATTCTTTTTTGATATAATGAATCCCTAGTGCTCGAAAGAAACCATGCTTAAGGTAGTATGGAGGAATCAAAACAAAGACAACACTGTTCACACTTTCCCAGAATGTAGTTTATATCGTGTTATTTTCAAACAAATGATAAAGGTATCTATCTCGGAACTTTTTTTCATTCTACAGGTTGTCAAAAAAAAAAAAAACAAAAAAAAAAAAAAAAAACACACGTTTTCTAATGATTACATAGGAAAAAAGATTTTCGTCGTACTTCTTCTTTTAAGATTTTTTTCTACTATTTGTTTTTCATTTTTATTTATAGTTTTGTTTTCTTAAAAGTATTGTTGTCAATGTTAGATATTTTGTAAATTGAAAGAAAACTTAATTACAGAGTTTTAAAATTAAAGATCACTCTCGTAAAAAAAACCCAGATCATCGTACTTTCTCTCTGGTTATAATACAAAATCCAAAAATTTGTTTCATTTTTAAAATTATCTGAATCATCTTTCCCTTTAAGTCTAAGGTTAATCAGTCAAAACAAATTATGTTTTTAGAAATAAGTCGTCATAATGGAATTAAATCACATAATTTTCCAAATATAATTGAGAAAGCTTAGAAATCAATTACAACCCTGTCTCAACATTTGCTTATTTTATTAAAAATCTAGACCAATCTTTTTCTTCTATTTTACGATCCAAGATGGTGGAAGATACCGATACTACCTTGACTAATTCCAATAGGCGGCAATGATAAAGAAAACTATTTGCACAATTTTGATATTGATAAATGGCAAACAACAAAAAGTCTGCATATTGTACAACGTGGTGTAATTTACTTGATCGTCTATGTCATGTTATTATAAAATTTGTCCCATTTAAAGGTTCATCAAATCTTCATTCATAGTTCTCACCATCATAGTGATTGATAGTTTAAGTCGTAGGGGACTCAAATATTTTTATTTGAAATTTATTGAGTAGTACTCTGCATGTGCATTCTCCATATATAACAACAATATTAATCATTTTTATTGCACTAATTCTAATATAGTGTTTGTTTCATATCAATTAGTGTAAAAAAGAACTACTTAGATTAACACTTGTTAGGTATTGTTGAAAGGTAAGCACTACTCAGAAAAAAACCAGAATGTTTCTGTTGAAATTTGGAAATTTAAAAATATTAAATATTTGAAAATGTACATATCTTGTATACATCGACAACATGTACTTCCAATTGCTATGTAAATAAACATAATCTCGAAACAATTACTTCATTGGCCTTTAGAGTTGAACAAGGAACAAAAGGAATGGTTGATAAAGATATATTATTAAATCGCGTTTCAAATATCAAGTAAGGAAACACTATCCCTTCTTCAACTTATTGAAAAAAGATACAGCCTTTTTTGGGCGATGGGATTTTGTTTTGATTTATATAAATACACTTTTTTAGTCAAACAATTGTATTGCAATAATTTTATTGTCGTCCTGCAAAAATCATGATCAACAAGTTTAATATCAAATCAGCAGCTATTTATTCTTGGTCTTTCTGATGTCAAATTATTTGTCTTTTGTTAAAGGTACCGACACAACAAAAATGTTACAGATTTTTGTTTCACTTGTATATTGTTTTTTCTAACCGTTAGAAGTGCTTTGTTTTAAGTTTATATTATAAAAATAAAATCATATTATCACCCATCATCTACTAGTCTTCAAAGAATTAATCTATAGCTCAAATCTGGGAAATATGACAAACGTCAATCTTTTGATTCACCTCTTCTCTGTTTCTTATTCACCGGAAATAACATTTCACATTTAAACTATTTTTATGTTTCACTTAGGTTGTGAAGAACGTCTTCATAGATTTCTATAGCAACTATTATATATTCTATATTAATGGGGTTTTATTCTCTAGAGTCGAATTCTGGGGATTCAATAATTTTCGTTGGTAACCTTTTTTTCTAGGATCGAGAACAAATTGTATTTTCATACATATTTGTGATCTAGGTTTGGTAACTTTTATAAATTTACTGTTTTCAAAAGTATGAATTATTCGAAATACTAAGGATTTTCTTATCCCAGGCATAGATTACCTTATCCGTATTTGGCACAACTTTTTGGAATTTTGGGCCATCAATGCTCTTATACTTGTTTGGCTTTCTAACTATTTTGATCCGAGCGTCACTGATGAGTCTTATGTAGATGAAACGCGCGTCTGGCGTATCAAATTATAAGCCTGGTACCTTTGATAACTATTTACACCACTGGGTCGATGCCACTGCTGGTGGACGTTTCGTCCCCGAGGATATCACCAGCCCAGGAGTCAGCACTTCGGTGTTGACATGAATATCAATTATATGGTCATTTTTATAAATTTACCGTTTTCAAAAGTATGAATTATTCGAAATACTAAGGATTTTCACATCCCATGCATAGATTACCTTATCCGTATTTGGCAATTTTTTTTTGGAACTTTGGGTCATCAATGCTCTTCAAATTTATACTTGTTTGGCTTTCTAACTATTTCGATCTGAGCGTCACTGATGAGTCTTATGTAGACGAAACGCGCGTCTGGCGAATCAAATCATAAGCCTGGTACCTTTGATAACTACTTGCCCTTTATTTTAACTGAAATTTCAGATAATATTTAATTAGAAAAAAAACTTGTTTTTTTTGTTACCCGTCTCGTCACAATACATGGTACTGTAAAATCTTCTTAATAATATCAATTATATAATATTAATTATAATTAAACGTTATAACAGTCTGAACGTGTGGCATACTAAACGATTAATTTTGAGCTAGAATCACTTAAATTTGTAATACTTCATTTCTGTAGGCCAAAAAAGGTTATAAGCTTGTTTCATCATACAGAAATTTTATATTCATCATGCATTTAATTCATGGTTTACCTCTATCAATAAATTGAACGAAACGAAGAAACCTACGAGAAAATTGGTACCCCATGAATAAAAAATAAAGTCATAGTCTGTTATAAAATAAGTTGATATGAACTACTTTTTTGTATTGAATTATTGACATGTCTTTCCAATATTTACTTAATTTTAATAGCGGGTTAAAAACTAGTTTCGAATAGTGCAGTAAACACTTACTAACTGCAATTTACCAGAAGTAATAAAAAGAAGACAAACAAAAAAGTTAAACCTTTGGGTAAAACGAAAACCAATATGAAATATTCTTTTTGTTTTATAGTAGATCCATAAGATTTCTTTTTTATTATTGATTTAATATTTATTGAGATTTTATAAACATGTTTTGTATAGTCTCAATTGCAGTGCACCATAAGTATCTGCTATAAATAACCAGACGTAATTTTAAGTAGTGAAATAAAAAAATCAGCCGAATTGTCTTGGGTTCTGATGATCAGCCATGTACAATTTTAATATCAAAGTAAAATTAGGTCACCGGTAACCATTTATGATTTACGACGACATAGTTACGTGGATACATTTCATCATTTGGAAGCTGAGAATGGAAATGGAGAATGAGTCAAAGAGACAACAACCCGACAAAAGAACAGAAAACAGCCAAAGGCCTCCAATTTTCTACAGATTAAATCTTGATTTTTTACAGAGAAGATATAAATATCTTAATATTAGCAGATGTTAATCTTAATATCTGTCACGTGATTGTTGGTTGTATCTTAACGAAACTTTACCATTAATTGTAATTCGAAACAAACGAAGAGATATATATCTGTAATGAGAGAAACACAGTTAGTCAACGTTGGAATACCATTCAATTGGCGATAAACGTTATTGTCTTATCTCTGCATAAGACCTAAATGAATATTTAAAAAAACTTTAAACCTGAAGGAAATCTCTTTTTGTCTTTTTTTTATTACTACTGGTAATTTGTAGTTATTGAGCGTTTAACAACATTCAATATAAATAAATTTCCAGTTTACTAAGCATGCAATTGTCTAAGTTGGGTAAAAATAAATATATTTTAAGTAACTGAATACTCTAATAAAAAAAAAAGACAAAGGATCTGGGGTATTCATCCATGACACAAAATCAGTACATGCACAGCTGTGTTTGTTGAAGCATATGCTGTGAATAATGATATGTGAATGTATTTATTTATGCATATAATGCATATTTATCGTATGTTATATACATTATGTATATTTGAATTATTTTGAGGGCCTTAACATATCAGGTTTTAAGACAATTGTTGTATGCTATTAGTACAAATAATTTATCAAGAAATTGTAAAAAAAATTTGCAATCGATTTATATAATTTTATGTAACAAAAACTCTTGTTTTTTATTTACTTTTTTTTACAAAAAGTACAGCAAAAGATCTACAAATGTAATATAATAATAGAAATGGAATGTAAATACTATAAACTCATATTCATGAGTCCCGTTTATATAAGACATGTCTATTGTATAAAATTTTACACATGCTTTGACCAAATGAGATGTAATTATTTTTTGTTGATGAAAATTAAAATAATGTTTTACTTTTTGAAACACTCAATCCATGATGTCGGTTTAAATTCATTCAGTATCCAATAAAATATTTATTGGTTTTGATTTTAGTTTTAAACTTTGGAGATCTATACTTTTTAATTGTTCAATTTTACAAGGTAACGAACCTATATCTATAGTTTTCATCATAACTATGAACAAAAAAGTAAATAGAGTGTATCAAACGTTTTTTGAAAAATAAACAATCGTCCATACCAATTGTAATCCTTTAAATTTCCTCGATGGTAGACACTTTGAAAAAAAAATAAAAAGGTTACAAAATATTCAATTTTGACAACAATACTTTTAAGAAAACAAAACTATAAATAAAAATGAAAAACAAATAGTAGAAAAAAATCTTAAAAGAAGAAGTACGGCGAAAATCAATTTATATATATATATATAATATGCAGCTTCATAAATATTCCTAAATATGTTAAAATTCCAGGAATAAATAATCCCTAAATTAACATCCATACGCGTTATCACAAACTGTTGGTTATAAGTTCCTAAAATGTTGTCACAGTACTAATCAGCAGAGCAGAAATGAATATTTGTACTGGATGTAGACTGCTGTTTTTGTTCATTGTTGTAGTTGGTTTTATGTCTAGAACTGTTTCATTGGAAATTATACCACTTCTCCTTATTTTCTAATTTTAAGGTATCTTTTGTGATAAAGAAAAACAAGACATAGTAAACTTTGTAATGATCTGCTATTAACATAGAATTTCCTAATGACAAACACATGAAAATAAAGATAAAG